CTGGAATGAGAGAAGCTTCTGGAAATGAAAAAGGTGCCACTGACACCAACTCACCCATCATGGCAGAAGAGAAGTCTCACAGTGACTGGGGGTCTCAGACACCCTCCACTCACCTGGTGATTTGTCTCATGTCCAGTGCAGCCAAAGGGCACTAACCTGCACTCCTAGAATGAATGGGCACAGAGGCCAGCTCTGCCTGGGAAAGGGTACCTGGAGGGCAGCCCTCTCACCTGCAAACTAAAGCTGGAGAGGTACACCTGAACTTGGCAAGGGAGTTACAGGGAGATGCAAAACACCTGGACAGGATGAGAGGCCGATGTGGGCGGAACCCAGGAAAGAGATGATAAAAAAAACTATTCAGTTCCGGCTGTCCGACGTCTGCAGGCACAGGGCAGTTATGCTTTTGAGTGTTAACTGACATTCCCACTGGGCATGAGGGGAAGCAGTGTGGGGGATTATTTTCCCGGGCCTCAATTTGGTGGTGCCAAAAGTCGAGTCCCCACTTGCCATCCTGTTCTAGTCTCTGTGGAGCGGACATTGGAGCTTTTCAGTAGATCCTAGTCCCTCGGAGAGGTCTGGCCTCAGCCTCCACATCCACATGAGAGCGATGTGGGGGATGTCACGGAGGGGGCGCTATGCACAGCCATTCGCTGCTACCTACAGGTCAGAAGGAAGAGAAGCACAGCCATTAAGCCCCAGGCAAAAAGACCGACCGAGAGAAGTAGAGCAAAGCCCTCCCTCCCTTTCCACTGCTCCCCCACACCCCTCATTCTCATATCCACGCCCACACATAGACACTGGTGTGCTTGGCTCCGAGGAGTCAGGCAAATTGATGCCACAGCCCTAGGCTGCCTTCCTTGAAGAGTCACCAGGTGCTCCTATCAGACTAGGGCCAAAATGTACCTACCCCCACTGTGAGACAAGCAGCCAGGAGCCCGGCAGTCAAAGGAGACTGTGTGGGTGACACCTGTCCACGACTGTGCCCTAAAAGTGACCGTGCAGTCGGGGGCTCCCTCCTTGGCTTCTGGGAGGGTCCCTACTGCGGTTGGGATTGCAATCCTGTTCTGAACGCAGCTCTCAAGAGCAGATCAGCTTCTTCCCATTCACTGGGAATTCACGTTTTCCCTCGCGAGAAGTTTTTTCCCCTAGAACAGTGCTCCGCAAGGGCTGAGTGCGCCTGGGAGCCACTCAGTGGTCCTGTTCTGATGAAGCCTCTGATCCAGTGGGTCTGGCAGGGAGCCTGTGGTTCTGCTTTTCTAACGGGTTCCCGCTCCATGTGAGGATGCCAAGGGCTAAGGTGTGAGAATGGTGAAACAATCCCACCTGCACACGCTCCTGTCCCAGAAGACGGTAAACATCATTTTATACCACTGACTGCAATCCCTTTAAAAACAAAGACAGGTCATGTTTTAGAAGCAACAGCCCACTAAGTTTTAAAAGTTGTCCAACATTTTTCTCTACAGTAGGTAACATGAATTACATGTTGCTAATGGGACTGATACCACAGTGTGGTTCAATGCAATTTGTCCTTCATTCTTACACAGGCTCCAGCAGTAACACACAAAGTTCCCGTTTTCCATGATGTCCTTCCCATTTCCCCCAGAAGGTGGTGGAAGTGAGCCACACCTGGACCTTGGAGTCAGTCACACTAAAGTGAGTTTGCCCAAGTCTCATTGTGCAGCAAGAGGCAAGATTTTAATGGAGAGGTGGAGAGCAGTGAACAGAACCCAAACCAGAAAACAAAAAAACCCAGGAGCCTTCTGTAGGTTCAACTTACTCAGCAATTTTATTGACCCAGTCTACACACACACATACACACATACACATGCACACACTTCAAATAGTTATATACACCTCAGGTGAATTTTCTTATCAATGGCACCAATTAAATCTGGACAGAACAATACCTAGGAAATCATGGTGGAACTTTGTTCCTGGGCTTCCCAACCCAGCTCATTCCCACTCAACCCAGTGTTTCTCTGGCTACCCCCGCCCCACTTCCAAAGTTCCCTGTGATCAGTTCCTCTGCTTCTGTCATCACAAAACCATCACCATATTAGAGTTAATAATCTGATATCAATATCAAATAAAATATACACAACAATTCAAGCACATTGAGCAGAGATTAATCACCAATAGCTTACTGAAAAAATACTTTTACCTACTCCTTTCTTCACCATAAAATTTCCTTTACATTTCTACTTATCAGATTAGAAACAAAAGCCAAATTCATGGCAGATTAAAAACACCGGCACTACCCAATGGAATGCAACATTCCCTACAGAGTCAAGTTGAGGACATAGATGGTTCCAAAACAGATGGTGACGCAATGCCCAGCCATGAAGGAAGCTGGATGACTTCAAGTGCATGTCACAACTGTAGGCTCTGAAGAGGCATTCCTTCTCCCCAGCTCAAAACACCATTCAAGTGATGTTCTACTACCAGCTTTTACAAAATTATGAAACTCTGATTACTATATATACAAGAAATGTCTGTTAAAAAACCACAGTGTATATACTTTTCCTATAAAGGAAATTATTTCATTCTTTTGTGACAGGTACTGTAGACAGAGAATTACAATAATGAATGGATAAAACCAAGCTACAATCAGAGAGCTGGTAAACTGTTGGCTGAGGGACCCCAGGACAGTCTGTCAGTTGGCATGCAGCCCCAAGTTGAGTCCATCCATGACTGGATTGGCAGACCCGACCTCAGGAAGGCTTCCGCGGACTGAGTCTAAAGGAATTTCTGGGTGTATCTACAAGGTCAGTGTCATCTCTAAGCCAAGCATCTAGCCTGCCAGTGTTGCAAACTAACAACTGTCATATATTTTTTTAAACTTTGCTTAAAAATTGTTCTTTATTTATTTTGAAGAGGGTGGGGGAAACAGAGAGAAGGAAAGAGAGAATCTTCTATACACTGCTTCAAACACCCATAATAGCAGGACCCAGAAACTCCATCCACGTCTCCCACGTGGGTGGCAGGAACCCAAGTGGCCATCACCTGTTGCCTCTCAGGCAGGCTCCACTTGCAGGGGGGCCGAAATAGAAGCACAAAGCAGCCAGGACTTTAATCACATACTCCAGTATAGGATGCAGGCAGCTTATTTTACTGAACCACAACACTCACCCCTGTTACTTTTAAATACATATATATGCAAACCAAAATGCATACTAGCAAAGATACACAATCTGCTCAGTTCTTGACAAGAACACATCACAATTCAGGGGCAGACAGTGGAATGTGCCTGAGTCTTCCTCATTTCTCACAATTGCTGGGTGGGCCTCTCTTGTCCACAGGCTACCCTAAGCACTGGGGGGTACCCCTGGCTCCTGGATCTCCTGCTCACAGGAAAACCATGAGGTGGCTTTACAGTGACATCAGAAACCACCAACCCCGCTGGAACATCAGGTGTGGTTTCAAGATGATGATCCTGATCTCATGTGAAACATTCATTCTGGTGAGTAGAGATTCCTATCCCTGACTCTAACTTCCTGGGAAACTGATTCCTCCCCTGCCAGCTCCGCCAAAAAACCAGAGACAATGATATGTAGCATATTGCTGGTACAATGTTTGTTCTTAAAGGACTTTTCTCCTATTTATCCAACTCAATGCAAAACCACAGCTTTAGGGGCCAGCACAATAGCACAGTAGTCTAAACCTCTACCTGTGATGCTGGCAACCCATGTGCGTGCTGGTTCAAGTCCTGGCTTTTCCACTTCCCGTCCAGCTCTCTGCTTAAGGTCTGGGAACACAGAGGAAAGCCCACGTTCTTGGGCCCTTGCATCTACATAGGAGACCTAGAAGCTCCTGGTTTCAAACTGGCCCGGCTCTAACCATTGTGGTCACTTGGGGAGTGAACCAGTGGATGAAGATCTCTCTCTTTCCTTCTTCCTGTAACTTTGCCTTTCAAATAAAAAGGAAATAAATCTTGAAGAAGCAATCCCTGCAGCTGTATCAAAATAACAGATGTTAGAGATAATCAGTAGGCACTGCATTCCAGCTGGGAGATGAGGAGGCAGGGACAGAAACATGTTCTGTAAGTAGGCTTCAGTTACCTCTTTCAAATATGTCAGGGATTTCCTCATTCAGCTTTGGAAACAAGGGGGGAAAAGGGAATACAATTATTTTCTTTCCCTATTTTATATCAGCAGATTAAATACTAAAATCTTCACTGGTTTCCTCCTTATTATGGATGCATGCAGTTTATTCCGCTGAGCCACAGCACCCACTCCTGTTGTAGATTGAGAGCATCAGCCAAGGGTAGACTGGGGCCCAGCGTTTCCCTGCAGAAGCTAGGATTCAGACATGAGCATCACTGCACACATTCAAGTAAGAAGTGGAGAGGGTGGGAAGCCAAAGATGGCAAGTAGGACTTCTCAAAAACTTACAGAGCTCCATTTCATTATATATTGTCCTGCGCTCTTCTGCTGAACTCTGAAGGCATCTAGCCCTAAAACCTAAAAGATGCCAAAACCTTGTTGTCAATTTAGGAAAACTACTCAGCCGGTTGGGAGACAGGGCCCACTATCTAGAACGGGGGTTTGTGACAAGTTGATGTGACGCTGCTTCACCAGAAGCCGTCCTCTTACTAAGAGTGAGTAGAGCTCAAATGCAAGGGCTGCACACCCCAGAGCTCCACCTTCCCACACATTAGCTCAGCATTCCTCTCATCTCACACTGGGGTCAGTGTGATGCTGTAGCAAGATAATCCTTCTTGTGGTGCTGGTATCCCTTATGGGATCCAGTTCCCTGCTAATGTGCCTGGAAAAGCAATGAAGGATGGCTCAAATCTTTGGGTGCCTGCACCCACATAGGAGACCCAGAAGAGGCTCCTGGCTTTGGGCCTGCTCAGCCTAGCTGTTGTAGCCATTTTGGGAGTGAAGCAGCAGATAGGAGATCTCTCTCTCTCTGAGTTTCCCTCTCTCTTATAACTCTGAATTTCAAGTAAAAAGTAAATAATAGTGTTTTTTTTTTAATAGTAAGTCCTCTTAAAAAAATACCCTTCTTCAAGATAAGGTCCTTTTCTACCTGTGTACAGCCAAAAGAAAACTCCTAGAGACACAATGTGAGGACAGGTAACTTTGTGTCTTGGGCACAATTTCAGGGAAGATGTAGCCTTGCTGACTGTGAAAACTGGCTGTGGAACTAAGTAACAGATTCAAGAGCACCAGGCAGCTCCCTGTGCTGACAACTTTCATCACTGGAGTCTCTCTCCAAGATGCTTAAAACTCTCAGCTTTCAACCAAATTTATTTAACAGAGGAGTTCCAAATGCAAGGGCTGCATTAAGCATCCTACAGAGTAGAGGGTTCAAGATTGGACAGGAGCCTAGAACAAGCCTTTAAAAGGCAGCAGCCTGCCTTCAAGGGGTGAATTCATTTCAAGTTGTCAATTGCTCGAACATCTACCTCAAAAGAACTGTTCCTTCCGAACCAGGAAGCATCAGAACTTGGAGGCTGATTCTTTACCCAAGTGTTTTCCCACCCAAGTGGTTAGGGCAGAGCTGCTAACCTGGGCAACAAATCAGTCACCAGGAAAGCTACCACAACACTGCTCATCCAGGATCCACCCAGAAGCTGTGAGTCACAGTGAGGTCTGACCCAGGTAGACACAGCTGTTTCCAAAGCTCTACAGGGAACTCTAAAGAACACAGCTGGGTGAGAACCAAGACAATGCCTTTTATTACCAAATATAACCATCCTTGGAAAATCACTAACTCATGCTAAAACACAAATTCATAACTTTATCAAGTAAGGAGTCCTCCTATCTTTAAAAAAATCTCAGGAGAACTCTAGATTTGCTTCCAAGACAAATGTACATACACATGTGTGTAATATACACACAATCATACATTCTGTATTCTACATTGGGATTGAGCATAAGCCGTTATTTACCACCAAGAAACTGAGCTTAAATACTTCCTGCCTAACTCTATGAAGGATAGAGGTGAATGAACAAAGCAATGATGAGCCAGACTCCATGGAGTGCCAAGAACTCCTCTAGAAATTGAGATAGATTCTCCTTATGAACAAAACATACCCCCAATAATTAAATTCATCATCAAACTTTTTTAACTCAAGAGGAAGGCTGTGCTGACAGTCATTGGAGAATGTGGTCTTGCCCCTGGGCACTTCAGATCTCCATGGTGACCCTTGACTATCCTTTCCAAGAGACCCAGGGACTCATAGGCCTTGAAAGAGAACTTGCTTGGATAGGCCAACAAGCTGAGACCCAGAGAAGAAAAAAGATAAGTGACCCAAGAAAGTTTTGAGAGCGCTTGAGACTGCCCTCCGTCCAGACCCAGCCTGCAGAACCCAAGATCTACACTGGGCTCTTCACGTTGAAATACAAGATGTTTACCACATCCTTGGAGCATGAAAAACAGGATCACTACCCATGAAAAGAGTGACAACTGTCCCCCTATGTTGTCTTACAGTCTCCAGAGCATTCTGCAAGTGTTCTGCAGCCTGGGCTGACCCTTGCAGCACCTGGCTGGAGAGGAAGGAAAAGACTCATTGAGCCAAGTAGCAGAGGCAGCCGCTAGCCACCTTCCTTCCTAGACAGACACCACAGAGCTGTGCACAATGCTGGGCAAGCCAAAAGGGAGATGGAAGAGGAGGAGGAAAATTAACCAGTACAGAAGGAACTGCACATTAAAGAGGCAATGCTCAAGGGAAAATGGGCTTTTGTGTGTCCTTCCACTTACTTGCCCACATCACCAGCACCAGGAAAGAGGCGAGTTAGATACCAGGAAGAGAAAGCATCAAGTGTGGGGGCATGCTTAAGCCCTAGAGAATGCATCCTTTTCCTCCTCCTCCAGGCCTCCCCAGCTGAGCACCTGTCCTGAGAGACCCAATTTGCCCACTTGCCCCTGGGTGAGGCAGATGACAACAGCTGGTCTGCAAACACAGACCTTAGGATCTCTGTTAGGATTAATGGTGAGGTGTCGTGGGGGGGATGGGGAGTGGAAGTTACATTGACTCCTTGGTGATTAGTGACAAGGTCAGGAGGCCAGGGCTGGAGGGTCACACACGGTTACACCACCGGAATGCTGACGTGGGTCTTCGGCTGGTCGGCCCCTTCTTGCACGTCCAGGGCACGAAGAGGGCTGAGGGGCTTGAGGGGCCGGCTCCCAACACTGTAATTTCTTGGACGCCTTATTGTATTCGAACTGGACAGAGGCGTAAAGCTGTTCCTTCTCATCCTTACAGGGGTTTGGTTCTTGGGGAGATTGTTCTGATTGAAAACGGAGGGACACCATACAAATGAGAGCCAAACCAAAAGCTCACCCTCGCCTTGGCTAAATACTGCCTGAAACCACGCAGCTTCCCTACTCCTGCTGCTCCACACCGAGGGACACAGCCTGGATTCCCAGCCTTTGGGAGTCAAAAGGGTTGTGGAGGGAAAAGCTCCTGGAACCTCATGTCACAAAGCACAAAGGCAGCTCACAGAAAGGGGTTTGTGTACAATTACACAGACCATCAGGGTCGGAGCCAGGATCAGCCCTAACCCCTCTTGATTCGACCTCAAGGCTCCTAGGCACCCAGCTTCCTACTGCTGGAGATGGTGAGGGAAGGCTTGCATTTCACTTCATATTTAAAGCACTTCCCAGGAGCCCTATTTCAAGGCTGATCAATAAAAAGAGATACCATTTTTTTAATTGTCATTTTGCTTTCTTTTCCTTTCAGAAGTCAGCACACTATCTAGGCCATGAGGCTTGCATCTATTTTGCTTTTATACAGTCTCTTGATAACAAAGATTCAAGGACTCAAGGGGGCAGGAATCAGGCAGTCTGTCAATGGGAAAATACTTACAGTGGGCTTGTCACGGTGCGTGTCCACAGCCTCCACATCCAGTTTAATTGTTTCTACTTTGCACCCTGGCAACACAGAGGAAAGAGAAGAAACTGTCAGAAGAAAAACTCTAAGAATAATTCCCTAGTTTTGGTCTAGGAAAATTCACCTTAAAAGAAGGTACACATTCCCAAACACATGGACCCAAATGTCCCTTTAACAATGGAAGGCACTAAGGAAAATCCCTTAATGTGCAGGGGTGAGGACTTTGAGCTTCTGGCCAACCGTTAGAGAAAACTCAAATATCCCAACCTTCCTCCATCCCCACCTCCTGCCAGCCCCAGCCCCATAGTTACCATAGGCGACAGGAGTGAGCTTGAAGATGGTATGGAGAGGGCACTTCAGGTAGGGTAGTTCATCTGAAAGCAGAAAGACCAGGTGAGGGGAGTCTTAGCACAATGGAGCAAGGTCAAGTTAATGGAGAAAACATGAGGGATGCCTAAGTTTTCTTTCCTCCGACCATAACCTACAGTGGTACATGGGGTCCCCAAAACCTCAGATGCTCATTAAAGCCAAAGAAAGCACCCCAAGTCCTGAGTGACTAAGGAAGGAAACAAGGTCACTTTAGAAACTCCCAGGCAGGCAATATAGGAATAAGAACCGCAGCCAGGGCTCCATGGAAGGGAAGATTTAGGCTCTCTGGGGTACACCACAGGCCAGTCTGGAGGCTTCCCAGCAGCCCAAGTAGATCTGGTATCAGAGAAGGCAGCAGCACCTCCTTACTGCTTTCACCCAGAAACTACTGCCCTACTCCAACCAAAGGCATAAAAATGCTTCCACCATTATAGGACTGAGGACCTTCCCACCATTATAGGACTGAGCTGGGAATGTGAAGCTCAACACTGGCCCTTCAGCCAGATGGCACCAAGGAGCAGCAGCAGCAGCAGCAGCAACCCAGCCCCCCGCCCAACCCCAGAGGGCTCTTGTGGCAACAGAGCAAATTCAACAGGCAGACAATCCCATAGCTGCTGGGAGCCTCACACTGCTGCTTGAAGAATGTACTTTAATTTGAGTGGAAGGGTCAGAGAGAGAGAATTGCCAGGAATCCTGGTGTCACTGTATTCCCCAGCCCTTCTCTCCATGGTACCTGCACCCTTATCCAAGAAGTAGGCCAGGAGACAGCGCATGACAGCCTGGTGAGAGATGACCAGGACATTGCCCTGCCGTTCCAGCTCCATGATGACAGGCTCCAGCCGCTGCACCAGGTCCTGGTATGACTGTGGAGGAAATGGGCAGGCTGGTAGGAGGCCAGTACCAGCTGACAGTCCCAGAGTCAAGAGGCCACTTCTTTCTCACCCCAGCTGGCTTTCCTCCTGGAGTCTCAATGACTCTGTGCCACCTAACTGCTCCCAGCCCCGCTGTCTTTCTGAATACCCAGATCATCCTAGACTACCAACAAATCATTCAATCCTTCCCCCAGAACAAGGTCAAGCTCCAGTACAGGGCTGGTGAGCTACTCTGTGCAGGGGCAGGCTCACCTCGCCTCCTGGGTACCGGTACAGATATTTATCTTGATCTCGCAGTGCAAACTCCTCTGGGTACCGTGTCTCAATCTCCTCATAGGTCATCTCCTCGCACACACCCTGCAAACAACCGCAGGGCATTGAGGGGTTGACAGATCCATTCTTGCTCCATCCCAAACAAGGAAAAGATGCAGAGGATCACAAGTCCCAGAGTACATGCCAGCCACTACGCTGTACAGCTGACTGTGACCAGGGTTCCTCACTTGCGTGGGCCTCACCAGCTGAGAGCTTCTATAGAAAGAAGGTGTCTTCTCCAGCTTAAGACACATTTTTTTCTCCTACAACTGTGGATTATGTGGAGGTCAAGAAAAGCCAACAAAAAGAACAGGGAACAGGGAAGGAGGGAAAATAAAGGAACTGAACACCTTGCACGAGAAATAAAAGAGTACGAAGGAAAAAGAAAAAAAAATGCCTACCGTCATGCTCAAGGACAGAAAAAGCTGAGATTGTTAAAGGACTACCTGACCAAAGTAGCTAAACAAAAACTATAATTGGATTGTTAACTATTTCTCTTTTCTAAGAGCAAGATATATAAAAGAACAAAGTGAGCACTTTTAGCCTACTCTCCCCTGATGCCAGAGCAATGAGGTCAAAAGCTGGTTTGGGTCTCACTGTTGGCACAGGTACTAAAACAGGCAGGAAGCCCTGATGGGGGTACAAGTTTACTTCTTCCCCAACCCCTGAACCAGCCACAGATCCAGATTCTGCACAGTTTTGGTTTGTGCTTCCTCTGGATCCAACTGCCCACAGAGTGACTTCTGAGAGTTTCTGTCTGCAAAGGCGCCTCTTCCTGGCTCTCCTGGCCTTTGGAGCTCCCTACTCACCGCGTCAATCTCATTGAGGATCTTCCACTGCTCGTAGGTCACCCCAAGAGACTCAGCAGTCTGGATGGTCCTCTTCAACTGGCTTGTCCACACCTTCAGGTCTGCTATCTCCTGCTCCTTCAGAAAATTCCTCAGAGCCTGAGCAAACTGGGGTTGGAAAATAAAAATTATGAAAAGCAAGCTCACACACTATGTGTAACTCAGGCCAGTAATGTGCGGTGTGAACAGTCATGATAAAAACCTGTAAGGTATGATCTAGTTAATATAAAACCCAGAGAAAATGAACTTCAACTGGGGCAGCTTGTACTGTGCTAAGAATACAGGTCCTGATTAGTAAATAGCTAATGGCCAAAAGACCACTGCAGAAATGATTCAAAGTTACCCATGCCTCATTACCGACCCAGAAGTACTGTGGACAAGAAAACATCTTTGGTATTTGCCTACTGCCTGTCTGAAACTATAGCCTAAGCCCAGAGGGGACTTAATAAGAAAGGGATAAAATAGATGACCTCTGTCATGCCCTTCCAACTCTAAGCCTGGGAAATCCAACTTGCTGACTAACTACTCACCTGCTTGCCCCGCACTGAGAGGCCAGAGTCACCCCCAATCTTGCCCAGGAGGTTGAATTCACTCTCTCCATGCCGGCAAAGGTAGATGGTGCGAGGGTGGACGTGGATGTTCATGAGGTAGTAGACTATCTTGCTCTGGATGTAATCCTGCACTCTGTTGACCAGAAATCGCTGGCCCACATTTATCACCTTGATGAACGAGAGATCCCTGGGATGAAACAGAAAAAAAAAAATCCCTGTCTAGAGAACAGAAAGGAACTCTTCTTCCTCTCTTCTGCTCTCCCCACATTTACAGAAACCAAGCTGCGGGAGATGGATTGACTATACCCCGGCAACAAAGCATCATACAGTTTCCTGCACTCCAACCTAGTTCTTACCGGTTTGGAGGCTGCACTGCACCAGGCAGTGTAGATAAACATGGTAAACAGAATTGGTGCCTAGTCAGGGACTAAACCAGATGACCTAAAGATGTGGATAAGACCAGAACTTGGTGAGAAAATAGGCTTCATTTGAAGCTGACAAGAGCTGGCTAGGAACACGGCACCAGCAATCAGGAGAGCGGAGGAGGCGGCAGAGCTATAGACAAATATCCATCTTCACCAGTTCTCTCTCAAAGGTACTTCTGAGAACTGCTTGCTTTGTGGCCATCATGGGATTTTTCCCACCTTAAAATTAGGTACTTAGTCAAAAAAAGAATTCAGGAGAAAAAAAATATGGTAGAATGATACAAACCGCCCAAGTACCAGAAATAACATTTATAAACACACACTATCATACTATCACAAATAAAAACATCCTATAAGGGCTGCTTTAGGTAACTGAGGAATATACTGTTCCATCATACCAGGGCAGTGGAACACCTCCAAATACTGGCAATCAGGAGAACCTGCCTGAAGGGGCGAAAAGGCGGAACAAGTTCACCTGACCCGCAGCGATCTGACAGTGTGCCAAGTGCGTCTGTCTCAGCATGGCTTGGCTGCAGGACCATGTCCTGTGACCACAGCAGGTTAGTGCCCTGAAGCGCATGTTCTTTCAAAAGACCAGACTCTCACACACTGCCAAAGGCACTCCATTTGCTTCAATATAGACTTGACATTTTGCTATGGTGCTCATACGTGACACACAGCACATCTTATCTGGATTCCATACCACATGATCAATGCATGTTTTCACAGCAATGACAGCCAATACCAACCAGACATTTCTATGAGAAAGACATGTTCCCAAGGGCTAGGTAGATAAGCACATGATGCATGTACATAGATAGAAAGCATGTAACACTTCAGTGTCCAAGTATAAGACTCAACACACATCCACACCATGTTTTTCTGGGATGATATACACACCGTAGGTCTGGAGCACCAAAAGGAAGTTAGGGGCCACAGTGAGGAAGGCTCTCTTCCCACTTGAGATGGGCCTCAGACCCTTCAAATCATGACCTTAACCCTTACTTGTCATAGTTGTCTGGATCCAGGGGTTGGTAGGTCACTTTGTAGCACTCAATTCTCTTCAGGAAGTCCTCCATCACATTTTCCCTGTCTCTTTCAGGGTAGTCAGGGCTTGACACCTTTACCTCCTACAAGAATAGGAACAGATTGAGCCAAGTTACAGGTCTGCCCTTGCAGCTCTTCTACAGACAGTCACTGCCCAGGAGAAGAATAAGATGACCATAAAGTGGCCTTTCACTGGCGTGCTGGCACATCCCTTCTCTGGGAATCCCGCCCCCATCCTGTGACCCTGGCAACCACCAAGGGAAAGGCACCCAGGGAGTCATGTGCCTGCCCTTGGCTAAAGGACAGAGGCAGTCACGCAGCTGAAGCTGCCCAATCCCTTTAAGTACTCTCTGAGAAAACAGAATGGGCTCCAACTCTCCCCCATGCTGCCCAGAATAGGGTATGCAACCCAGTGCCTGACATGGGACTAGGTGCCTTGTCCTTGGATGACCCTGAGTTTCCACAGAATTGGGAGAGCCCCTCTAGAGGCACAGGCACAGATGCCTACTACATGGCACAATCCACTGAATGGTGGCCACACAATGCAGTGACCCCAGCAGGCATGAGGAGGCCAATGCATACCACAAACTGGCCAAAAGGTTGGACAGCTGGGTAGGTAGCTTTACTATATGGTGGTCCTGACAGATGAAGAATTTCATCTAGACTAACACCCAGGTCTTAGCATTTGAACAATATCCAGAGCACAAGGCCAGAACTCCTAGAGCAGAAGTCTCAGTGTCAATTCAACAACTGATTCTGACTTGATCCCTCAAAGCTTGCACTTTGTCTCTCACTGGAAGATGGTAGAAGTCTACAACAAGGCTCTGAAAGAACAGAACATTCCAGAGGTGAACAGGAGCAGCTCACTTCCAGGGATACCTCTTACCATGATATTGGCAGCAATGACATCAGGATCATCACAGACAGATTCTACAAAGAATACCTGGCCATGGAGAGAAGGTAGCGATGAGTCAGAAACGTGCCAAGCTATTAATTAAGAGTGCACATTCACCTATACCACCCTGCCACTTCCCACGATTTTGTTCATGAAAGCGGCCTTCAAGACCTCTCATTTAAAAAGAGCTCTTCCTGCATCCCTGGACCTCAAACAGGCTAAAGCCCTGGGAAAGGATCAGAACGAAACTACTCAAGGATTGAAGGTATGTCCCAAGAGAAGTGCTCAGATATCCAGTCCTGTCTTCATCCACCAGAGTCAGATAAAACCACATTCTCTACCTCCACTCAATCTCTCTCCTCCAGTGTGGAGTCAGATCTTACCTTGAAGGAATTCTGCTCTGCAAAGGTTAAAATCAAATCCCTCCTTTCCCTGGTGGTGTTGGTGGCATCAAACACCTGGGACAAAGCAAACAAGGCAATTGAGTGGGGCCACAGAAATGGAGCCACACCAGGGCAGACACAAGGTGGGTGGGGCAAGGTGGCCAGGCTACAGAAAGTGTGGGAGCCTGGGAGAAGCAGCGGATGGGGCTTACCGCAATCTGCCCGTTCTCCTCAGTCAGATATGCCTTGACATCTTTCAGCGCCACCAGTGCACACTGCCTACCGTGAAAGCCAAAGCAATCAGCAAGATGGCTACTGACACAGAAGCACTACTCACTCTAGGAGTTACATCCCTTGCTACTTAGTGTTCCAGTGGTCAGAATTGTTCTCTCTCCAGAGTTTTCCACCTTGTTATTGAGGCTTTCACTGCAGCCAACGTCTTCCTCTTTGCCCAGCCCATGGGCATATTTTATCCCACCCTGAACCCTGCTCTGCTTACACGAGCCCAAAGTGGATTGCCTGTCACATAACTTCTACTTAAAGGCCCCACCAGATAATTGCTGAGAGGAAAGCAAAGCCCTGTCACCTCCAATCACACAGAGACCCCAAAAGAGTAGAGCCAGAGGTCAGGCTTCGTAACAGACTCACTTGCGGATCTTCATGGCCTCTTTGTTGTCATGCCGAAAGAAGTCATAGGACTTGTAGGATTTGACTGCTTTGCGCCGGTACACCCCGAGATTAAACACTGCAGAAGACACCCAAGTCCTTCAGGAGCAAAACAATACGATGGTGCCACCGAAGGGGACTTCTTAGCCTGATGTGGCCAAGGGAGTAATAAAAGCACCAAGGTGTACTGGGAACAACAGCAGAGTAAGTAGCTGAAAGAGTGGGTTCAAGTCTGGACTTACTGAACTTTGGATAAGCCTTAAACTGTCCAAGTTTCAAGTTCCTTAGCCATTCTATTCCTGTTTCACAAGAGGAAATGCTAGGGTTCGATAAGGTAAAGTATAGGCAAAGGGCTTTGAAAACCCAAAGCTCTAGACTTACTATTAATGAATATTCCAACAGCAGCATTTCCTCAGAATTAAGCCAATCTACCCAGGCCAGCAGAGACAAGTTCCCAAACAGGGAACAAATTTGGTAAATCAGGAAGCACTCCTTCTTTCTGTTGGAAGCTCCCCATAACTTTGATGTCAGGGGGATAAGTCTTGCAGAGGCCATGGGGCTTAAGAACTACCAATTCCCTGTCCCAGGAAAACCCTGTACCTACCTTTGGTGGGCACCCCAATCCAGTTGAGGTAGCGCGTCAGTTTCTTAGACACATAGGTCTTACCCCGGGCTGGCAAACCAATCATCACAATGAGAGTGGGGGAGTTGGTCATGTAGGAGGCCCATGCTAAAAGGAAACCAAGACAGAACTAAATGAGTAGGGGGCCAGTGAGCCTCATGAACTAGGCTATAGACTTCATGTTCATTTTCCCAGTAAACTTGTGGGGCAAAGACCCAGGAAGAAAGGTAAGGCAAACTAACCTTGGATAGACTCTCCTGAAATGGAATTAAAGAGTCATGCAGGTTTCCAGAAAGTACCCAATTAAGACATATTATTCCCATACAAAAGTACCCAAGGCTGAAAGAGGGGATGAGTGGCAAGGATGAAAAAGAAAGTCAAGAGGACACCCTCCTTGGACATGACAATGCCTAGTATCTGGACAATGATACAGCTGTGAAGGCACGGCTAGTGCCTGGAGATTCCCTCAGTACAGAACCCAGCTGGCTCCTACAACAGGTGAAATAGAGTTTCCACTTGAGCATCTCACCCTCCCTTCATTGCCAAGTGTAACTCTTGGCTTGAAACAGCAAACAGTCTTGCCTCCAGCTCTCCATTGCTTTGAGTTCCATTTAAGAGAGACATTGTAAACCACAGTGAGTCTACTTGAGGGAGGTTCTAAATAAACACTGGGAAGCCTCTGATAGAGACAGCTCTTAAGGGCATCAGGGCCAGTGGACCACGTGGAAACAAAGAGTGGATAGACAGGAGCAGTCACTGGTCTACCCTTCCTCAGCCGTATTGTAGCAGTGTGCATTTACAGAGGTAGGCCTTCCCAGCAGGTGGGGCAAAGGATGCGCAGAGGTCAGGTGACCTGGTAAGGACACATAGTGAGTCCAGGGTAGAACTGTTGCTGGAATTCAAACTTTGTGCTTCCTGCAGTTTTTTTCCATAAGAGAAGTTGCTGCTCAGCTTACTCACAGACCTGGCTCCTCCCTGCCTATCCTACCACAGGGGAGAGGATGAGGAGCATTCTGCTCTGCTACCATCCCTCTTCCTGGAGGCTAGGACACAAACTGAGGTCACCAGGCAGGGCTCAGGTTCTGCCCTCTCTGATGAGTGAGGGGAATGGGAAAGCACCACTGCCAAGCAGGTGCCCTACAAGTTGATGCTGTTTGTCTGCACTGAGAGAAGATGGTCCAGTAATACTAACGAGCAGTTGGGTCACAGGGAGGATTGGATGTGAAATTCATCTTTTAGCTTTGGAGAGAGAAGCATGAAGAGTATCTCATAGGCAAAGTAGAAAGGACGGAGTTTCCTGGGGAAGTCAGACAACAAGTACCAGGATGCCAGAGTAGCCCTCCCCAGGGAGGGCTTGGCTGTTGGGCTTTTACCCATTGGGCCCCTTCAAGGGAGGTAATGGAGCATTATAATTTTCCTCTCTGTCCAAACAGGGAGCTCTAAGGCCAACAAACACCCCCTCTGCACTCTCCTTGATTACTGACCTCCCGCAGGCTGAGAAGCTCCACAGGGGACTGGTTAATCCCCTGAGTCTTCACTTTCTCCAGCCTAGCACAGGCGCTCTCCATTTCTGCATGGTTCGGCTCATTACCTGTGCTCCATGGCCTGATCTGTCCGTGCCTTCCAGCTCATTAGGCACTTCTCCCAAAGGCCCCACTGCCCTGTCTAAAGCCAAAAATGAACCAATGCGTGAGAGATGCCCAGAGGCCACCAGGGAAGCAGATACTCTGTGCCTACCATATAGCGTGGAGAACACTCAAAGGAAAATCAAACATACCCCTTGGGGACTGCACCAACTGCCCTCCAGCACCACATTGGCAGCCTCTGCCCAGAGTGCCACGTCCTCCCCCAACACACCTGCTGCAACCTGGGGCTTCTCATTTTCTACAGTACAAAACAAAACCCACTTCCCATGTGAAACTGCCACACTGGCAAAATCGGACTGTTCTGACCTGCCCATGAAAACATAAAACCACCTACGCAGCCTTTGTCACCAACACCAACACCTTAGCGTGACCGGAGGGCACTGCAGGGTCACTGACTTCAGATGTGTGTGATACATTTCTTGATATGCAATGCAAAGCTGCTTCCATCCCCAACTCCTCTTCCGGCTGCTTTACAGAAAGCACAAGTCACCTCAATCTGAAACCCACTTTCCCTTATTAAACATGCTCAGATGAAATGAGAGACTCTGCAACTTCTCTCAAGCAAACAGAAAACCTCAAGTCCCCAGATGTTCTCCTTTGCCTGTGGTCCCAAAGTAAAAAGTCAAGTCCAGGACCCTTCCCAGACACCCAGTCTTACAACTGTTAGTTCCCCTGGGAAACCCAACTTTGTTCTCCACCCTGATCCTGAAGGAGGTTGCAGGAGAGCAATGGCTCCCAGCCTCTTTCTATCATTCATCCTAAATAGGTGTAACATTTTGAAACACAAGCTTTCTGTAACAATCGTTAAGTATCTCCTGATGTTTGACTAGTGGAGAGGATATGAAACAACCAAGCTCACAGAACTGTAGCCAAACAGTAACACAACTGATGCTTTAGTTAGCCAGCGCAGTTCTAGTTGCTAAGCCCCATTGCCATCAAGTAACCTGAAACATTTCAATGCTGTCCAACATTTCCCATGTGTGAATCTTTCCCCCTGCCATGTCTGTAGGAATCCTTGCTGGCACAAATATGGGATGGTGGATGTGTGAGGATGCCCCCGCAGAGTTCTTTGTGGTGATGATGAAAAACTGGTAACAATTTAAACATCCCTCCATGGGAAACAGGCATATCTGTCCACACTGAATGAGGTCACTCTGCCTTTCCCAACATGAAAGAATCTATAAAACAGTAAGACCCCCACCCCCATAAGAAAGGAAATGGCAGGAGACCAGTCTATGTAGAGTGTGAACCAAATCTCATGAACACGATGCAGCAGAATCCAGTGCCTAAAAACATCAGACTTGGCAGGAACAGGAGGTTATGAGAGATTTTTTTTCCCGCCTTCCTTTGAATTTTTCATGAGCATGCATTTCTTTTGTATATAAGGAGACATGCCTGTAAATAACCTGCCTGCCTCAGATGCACTATAAACAAACAAATAAAACAAAAAGGAGCACTGGCCTCTCCCCATTTTTCTTTTACAGAGTTTCTAAACTAAGCATGTGTGCGTCTCACAGGCCCCTGCACCCCCACGCCTGGAACAGCTGAAGCCCAGGCGTGTGCCTGTAAAGATCTTGGCTCCAGAAAGCCCATTCTTCAGCCCTGACCTCCTCCAGCCCAGTCACTTCTCAGAGTCAAAGTTAGCCAGCACAGGTGTACTCAGCAGCAAGGGACACTCTTGTCACAGCTGCTGGGGTGATCTTGTTCCTGGGCACATTTTCCATACAATGCACAATGGGGTACATCCAGGCTTTCCAACATCCATAAGATGCCTATAACATAGTAAGCTTAAAAAAAAAATAGCAGAACATAAGATGCACCATATGTTACTAAGATATACCTGGATTAAACAACTAAAAGAATCAAATTTACATGTCTCTGAATATAAAAGCAAAAAGACAATAAGAAGCACATATTATCTGAACAGTATTTTCCCTTGTATTTTCTGCAAGAGTCTCAGAGTCCAAATATGAGGTGAGAAAAAACTGCAGTGAATGAGTGATGGTGGCTTTAGGACAACCCCCAGGGCCTCTAGGGAAGTAGAACAAAACATCTGAGGAAAAAAAGTTGGAATTTGGAAAGGAGAAATTAGAGCCCTGAGCAGAAAACAGAGTTTGCAAGGCAGAAAGGAAACCTGAGACTAGGGCTTTCCTGATGGCATAAAACCCCCCCAAGACAGAAAATCCACAGAGAAGAGTTAGGCAGGCACGTGGAGAGGCTCCTGGCTTAAGAAAGCAGAGCAAAGGCCTGGCGGCGTGGCCTAGCGGCTAAAGTCCTCGCCTTGAACGCCCCGGGATCTCATATGGGTGCCGGATCTAATCCTGGCAGTTCCACTTCCCATCCAGCTCCCTGCTTGTGGCCTGGGAAAGTGGTCGAGGATGGTCCAAACCTTGGGACCCTGCACCTGTGTGGGACACCAGGAAGAAGTTCCTAGTTAATGGCTTCGGATTGGCTCAGCTCTGGCCATTGCGGCTTACTTGGGGAGTGAATCATTGGATGGAAGATCTTCCTGTCTCTCTTCCTCTCTGTATATCTGACTTTTCAATAAATAAATAAATCTTAAAAAAAAAAAAAGAAGAAGAAAGAAAGAAAGCAGAGCAAGAAGGTCTGACCAGACCAGACACCTGCTATCAGAGACCGCACAGCATCCAAGTCTACCTGCACTGCCCCCTCCGACACCCTGCTGTCTTTTGGATCGAGCATCCCAGTAAAAGAGTACCCCGATGGGATCATGCCAGATCTGTAAATACAGAGGGGAAGACATTCTTCACTGGGGAAAAAAATTATTCACTGGATGTTTTTAAAAAGTGATTCCCAGCACAGTTCTTGGACATTTTTACAAAATGTAGATTTCATCTGTGAACAATCACATCATGACAGTGTGCCCAACACTTTTCTAGGTATTCTCCTAGATTTCCTCGCCCAGCCCTCCTATCATTCTTAGGGGAGAAGATGCTGTTAGTATCCTGAAAGGAATGAACTAAGGCTCCAGGAGGATAACACACGTGTTTAAAGCTGGTCCTGGTAGGAGGTGGAAAAGCCAAAATTCAACCCCGACAAGCTCACTCCAGAAGCTGCACTGAAGCACAGGCTCTACAAGTTCTCATGGGGTGTTTTGTCATTGGTGCCCAGGCTTCCCACCCTGGCAGTGAAATGAGACCCTGACTGCAGAGGTATGCCAATTCCAGTACTGCATCCTGAGGGGCTGCTTCTGTCCAGTCAGTCTCATGGGCAGAAGGCAAAGAGAGTCTCACCATTTATCACAAACTAACAAAAGCACAATGTCAAGGTTGCAGTGCAGGCAACATGAAACCATTCCCGGTCTCAGGCTGGCCGCTGCTTGCACTTGCTGATATATATAACCATCAAGGAGGAAGGAAGCCACCGAGAGCCTGCATGGGCCGGATGCCATCTGCAAGCAGGAGTAACCGTCAGGTTTCTTGCAGGTTTCCCCAAACATCTGGGACCAGCTTCCCAGATCCCAAGAAGTGACAGAACCTACAAGCATGCCTCGGAAAGCAGGTGCATGTGGATAGGAAACGACACTTATCTCTCTTGCAAATCCTCTTCTTCTAGCTGACTTGTAAGAAATTGGCAAGGACATGTTCCTGTGACACTGGTCCTCAAAGGGGAAGACTATATAGGGATAACAGCTTGCAAGGTGTGACAGCTAACCTCACAAGAAAGAAAGGTGTCCCACACTCGGGGCCCACTCCCCTGAGATTAGGAAGGCAGTGAGGCAATGCCAGCTCCCAACCGTCAATTACCACAGCGAGCAGAACCCTCTCAAACTGCAGCCTGACAAAAAAGGGAAACTGGTAACCACATCAGCCCCAACTGACTTGTTCCTGGCAGATCTGCCTTACTGTGTGTACCACATGGGCCCCAGATTCCAACATCAATGAGCGTGCAGGTTCTGCAGCCCCACACCCTGTAGACTCCTGGGCTACACTGGCAGACTACCCCACAGTCAGACATTTCACAGGAATGACCTACTTCAGACAGGAAGTTGTCCCCTGGAGATTGCATTTTAAATTCCCATGGCAGGGAGCCATGCCTCACCCCCCACCAAGAAGCAAAGTCTGGAAATCACAACTGTACAGCATCCCAGCAGACAGCAGCCCCTTCTGTTTCCCGGACTCACAGCATTTCTTTTCTGACATTCGAAGACTGGACGTTTTGTTGTTGCTGGTTTCGGAGGGAGGTGCAAGGTGCCCAGACATGGTAGCTCTCTGGGTGGCTTCTAGAAGGAGGCAGAGGGGACGGAGTGTAAGAAGAGAAGGAAGAAGTTCTCTAAACCAGTGCAGAGCATCACTTGGGATGAGCCGGGTCAGTAGCCAAGCCCAGCTCTTTGTCACAGTGAAGCGCTTGCAGTCCCGGGATAAGCCTGCGTCTGCCATCTCACCTACTAAGAGGGCTGTGCTGGAACTTTGCACTTGCTTGCTGACTCAGCGGCTTACCTTCATACGTGGTGTGATCTCCTTCAACCCTGTGAGCAAAACCGTAGCAAAGCAGATCTCTCCACCATTACTACTTCCTCCCCATTTCACAGATTGAAAAACTGTTGCTCAAATTAAGTGGCTGGTCCAAGTTTCTTTGTGGCATCAGACTCAGAAGAATTTAGGGAGAGCAGTTAGGGGTGGGGGAGTTGGGAATGGATCATTATCAAGAAGGTGCCTGCAGGACTGGCTCGTGGCACGAGGGTCTCTCACATCCCATGTAGGAGGGTTGGGTTTGAATTTCGGCTCCTTGCTAATAATGCGTATCCTAGCAGTCAGCTGGCGATGACCCAAGTGCACGGGTCCCCTGCCACTCACACAGGAGACTAAGCTAGAGGTCTGGCCCAGCCTGGGCTGCGGTTGTCATCTGGGAAGTGAAGCAGTCAATGTAAGACCCATCTCTTTCTCTCTTTTCCCCTTCTCTCTCTCTCTTGCCCTGCCTTTCAAATAAATAAAAATTTTAAATACAAGGTAATTTCAATCCAAAAGTAGACACTGAGTGCGAACACGTTAGCCGCGCTCCCTGCGGTGCGCTCATGCGCATCTCCTGTCCGGCACCCTCTCCCCAGCTGTCTCCTGGGGTTCTCAGAAAGGAACACTGGAGGCAAAGGTGGTAAATGACTTCCCCAAGGTCACCTGCAGAATACGGGGGAACCCTGGCTGGGAGAGCCCAGATAGCAAGGGGATCCTGGGTACAGAAGGCCCGGCTGTCTCAGCGGCCACGCACCCACCGTTCCTTCAAGAACACACAAATGCACCCCAGGGCCGGCTCCCGGGCTTGGGATCAGCGGAAAGGCCGGCAATTCCCGAAACGGTGACGCTCGAACGCTCCGCACCTCCTCCTGGTGTGTGCAGCTCCCTTGGTCCCGCCCGCCCCCTCGCAGGCGCTGCGCCGTCCTCGCTCACCCTACGATAGCGCCTAGGATCCCTCCCGGCTGCGGGCCCGGCGCTTCCCCGTAACTCCGCCGACTGCAGCCGACAGGTCCTGGGGCCGGGCCCGGCAGCTTGGTCCCCAGCAGGTCACGTGCCCCCGGCCCCGCCCTCCCGCGCGTCGGCCCTCACCTGGAGACAATTACAGACCAATCAGGCGCCGGCGGGGCCCGGGGGGCGGGGCTGCGGGCGGAGAGCCGGGCTCTGCAAGGAGAGCGTGTCGGCTCCAGGCTCGCCAGCACCCAGGCCTCCAGCTCCGCCGGGGATGGCTGCCGCGTTGCTTGGCAACCAGCAGGGCTGGGGGCGGGGTCAGTAGGCAGGCTGGCTGCTCAGCTTTTTTAAAGACCCTCTCGCGAGATTGGATCACGCACCAGGCGTCTAGAGAGGTGACAGGAAGGTGTGGCGATGGTTAACGCTTTCACCCCCAAGTCGCAGCCGGACCTCGCCAAGGCAGCAGCAGCCAAAGGGAACCTAATAGGTGCTGGGGGCGGCCAGCGCAGGGCTGGGGCCGACTGCACCCCGAGAGTGTGCGGGCATCCGCCCCGTGGACCAGACCCGGCCGCCTAGCGCAGCGTCCTGGCTGGACGCACCCTCGTGCTCCTGTGCACGCCGCGCCCTGCCCAGGCCACGACGTCCGTTCAGCAGCTCATCTTCAAGACCCTAGGAGTCCGGCAGCACCTGCAGGAGACCGAGTGGGGACAGGTGTTTGCACAGGTGCGTAAGTGCCCTGTCAGCATCTAAGGGCGGCGGCACGGCAGGGCAGTGAGTCTGCGCCTCCCGAGTGGACCTCACCGCCCCTGTATGTCCGCCACACCGCGGCCCCCGGGTGGACCTCACCGCCCCTGTATGTCCGCCACACCGCGGCCCCCGGGTGGACCTCACCGCCCCTGCATGCCCTGCACACCGCGGCCCCCGGGTGGACCTCACCGCCCCTGCATGTCCTGCACACCGCGGCCCCCGGGTGGACCTCACCGCCCCTGTATGTCCGCCACACCGCGGCCCCCGAGTGGACCTCACCGCCCCTGCATGCCCTGCACACCGCGGCCCCCGGGTGGACCTCACCGCCCCTGCATGCCCTGCACACCGCGGCCCCCGGGTGGACCTCACCGCCCCTGCATGCCCGGCACACCGCGCCCCCCGGGTGGGCCACACTAGCCCTCCCACCCCGCCCACCTTAGCACCGAGAGTGAACCGCACTGGCGGTGCCCGCCCAAGCAAGCCCGGTGCCGCCCGGGGGGGTCTGTCCAGAGGCCATTCCGGGCAGGTGGGACTTGGCAGCCCTGGGTCCGGCACGGATAGAAGGAGGCGTGGATACGGAATTCTTAGCAAAGAGGCCAACTCCGGGATGTCTTTATTAAGTCACTCTTGGTGGCAGCTCGAGGACGAGGTGGTCTCCTCTGCGAGGCTTCCCACCGTCCTCCCCGTGTCCACCCTGGGTTGCACCAGCCGTCCCGGCCGGGCAGCGGCCAGGGCCTGCCAGGGCGGCCCAGGGTCACAGCAGCCTGCATTGTCACGTGGCTGCAGCCCGTCCTGTCCCTTGCAGGGTCGGGGACCGGCTGTGTCCGGGGAACTGAGGGGGCGCCTGGATGGCACGCGTCCGGCCCGCTCGGCCCTCCTCGCACGGCCACCCGCCAGGACGAGGCCCGGGGGCGCCGCGGCCCGGCTCACGCGGCGCTTTCTGAGATGTCCGGCGGGCGGAGAGGGGAACAGGTCAGGCTTCCGGGCCCCGGGGCCCCGTGAGTCAAGGTCCGGGCCGGCCACGAGCCTCTCAAGGGCCCCTCACTCACTGACTCACGGGCCATTCTTGACATTCCGAGCCCGGAGTGTGCGTCTCCATGGTCGGCCAGTCACCTGCCGCCTCCGCACGCGGCCTGCCGCCGGGCCCGCCTCTTCCCCGGGCGCGTTGCTCATAAAGCCACCCGGCTGTGCCCGAGAGGCGAGCGTCCGTCCTCCTCCTGGAGCCCAAGTGTCGCGAGAAGCGTACGCAGGCCCCCTCCGCGCCCGCCGGCGTCCTCTCGCGATGTTTGGCCCCGCGAAGGGTGGCCATCTTGGAGTCCGCCCGGCGGCTGGTGGCCCCGGCGGCGTCTCGCCTCCCGCGGCCGCCACCAAGGCCGGCCCCGCAGGCGTCTGGCCTGGGGGCGGCCAGTCCGGCACGATGTGGCGGCTCCGCTGCAAGGCCAAGGATGGCACCCATGTCTTGCAGGGGCTGTCCAGCCGGACCCGACTACGGGAACTCCAGAGCCAAATTGCCGCCATCACCGGCATCGCGCCCGGGGCTCAGCGAATTCTCGTCGGGTTTCCGCCGGAGTGCCTGGACCTCGGCGACGGGGACCTCGTCCTGGAGGACTTGCCCATCCAGTCAGGTAAGGGGTTCAGATCTGGGACCAAGGGGCCAAGTGTGGGAGGGCGGAGAGCGGCGCGTGAGAGGACAGAGATCCCGTCGGAGCCGGGAGGACTGACGGGGCGCGGGAAACTCGGGTGGAGACGAGAGAGAAGCCCAGAGCCCCCGGGGTCGCCCTCCCCAGTCGGCTCTCTGGGCTGTCTCATCCATTTTCCCTAGGCGGCCACAAAAGTCCAAAGAGTAGGGGCTGTCTTGTCAGTCCTGACCGATCCCTTTCTGGGTATCATCCTTGCTGAAAGCTTCAGGATACTTAATTTTGCTTTGTTGATTTTTTTGTGGGTTATTTTGTTTTTGTTTTTTGTTTTTTGTTTTTTTTGCAAACACCTTCACATGCACTTAAGTTTCACAGATGCGTGCCTTGTAGAGTTAGCTTGTAAACAGCTTGGAAAAGTCTTTCAAGTTCTAACATCCAGTAATTATTTCTGTCCAGTGTTAAAGCTTGAACATCAACACGGTAATTAAAAGCTTTTTTAAAAAAATGTTTCTTGGATCCGGGACCTTGTCAACACTACACAAAGTAGATATGCTGAGTTTCAGGAGGATGAGCATCCCCTAGTGGCTGAGTCTAGGTGTAACACGCTCTGGAAGCTGTGCTTTGAAAACTGGGCTCTTACAAGGATATTTTGTTTCCAAATGTATCTAAGAAGTATGAATATGTGTGCCTCCGACTTCCCTTGCTTGGGATGATGCAACTTGAAATATTCTTTGTTCTGTTTTCATCTGGATGAGTAGTGGGGCTCAGAAACGTTCTCCGGGAGCTGTGAAGCGGTATTCTAGCTGATGCTCTCACTCCTTCTGTTAAGTGATTTACAGCCTGGGCTAGTGGCCTCCAAGGTATGTCTGTAATTTCTCTGTAGTTCTGGATCTGTTTTATTTTTAACAGGCGACATGCTGATCGTTGAAGAAGACCAAACCAGGCCCAACACTTCACCTGCATTTACGAAACACGGTGCTCCTGGTTCTGTCCGGGAAGCTTTGCCCGTCCTGACCAGAACCATGGTCCCAGCGGACAACTCTTGCCTCTTTACCAGTGTATACTATGTCGTTGAAGGCGGAGTGCTGGATCCAGCCTGTGCCCCCCAGATGAGGCGCCTCATAGCACAAATCGTAGCGAGTGATCCAGACTTGTACAGCGAGGCCATTCTGGGGAAAACCAATCAGGAGTACTGTGAGTGGATCAGAAGGGATGACACTTGGGGAGGAGCCATTGAGATATCCATCTTGTCTAAGTTTTACCAGTGCGAGATCTGTGTGGTGGATACACAGACAGTAAGAATCGACCGATTTGGGGAAGATGCGGGGTATACCAAAAGGGTGCTGCTCATTTATGACGGCGTCCACTATGATCCGCTCCAGCGCAACTTCCCGGATCCGGACACCCCTCCCCTGACCATCTTCTCCTCAAACGACGACATTGTTCTTGTACAAGCACTGGAATTAGCAGATGAAGCTCGAAGAAAGAGACAGTTTACTGATATCAACCGCTTCACCCTGAGATGCATGGTGTGTCAGAAGGGATTAACTGGCCAGGCAGAAGCGAGGGAGCATGCCAAGGAGACGGGCCACACCAACTTCGGAGAAGTGTGATCTGTGCACGAGGAGGGTTGAAGCCTACTACCTCACTGATCCAGAAGGCTCTGGGTTTCCAATAAGCTATCCATAACCCTGAAGAACAAAGGACAATGCTTGAACCACACCTTGAACTTGAAGCCACTAAGATGCCGAAATTCCTTGTTAAGATTAAAATTAGTGTGCAAGTTTACAGATGTGTGTCTACAGTGGTGATCCATGCCCTCTTTCCACTGGGGTGACAAGTTAGGTAGCCTTTACATCTGCTGACATTAACCTGAAGATGAGTTTTAGTATTACAGACTAGCACCCAGCAGCTTTAACTGCAGGAGGAAAGAACATCACCTTTCGAATAATGTTGAAGACCACTTGTGAGGCCACTGGACCTATACCACAATGTTTCCAGTTAACTGAGTACTTTGAATAACTCTGAGAGAGTTAATAATTCCTAAATTATGAATTGATTTATCAGATGAAGATACTCAGAATTGTCAAAACTGATTTTATATTGCAGTTTGGTAGACTTTCAGATGTGACCTTCACCATGTCTAAGTGCATAACAAGCAATCTTTACAGGATGAGTGCATTCCTAGAGAATGTTACCTGAAGACGGGAGCTGGAAGCGTCCTGTTCCAGCGTTCTGGTGTGCAAAAGTAGAATGTATGAGGGAAAAGGTGCCTGAAGCAGCTTACTAAAGCTTTAAAAGACCATCGGCCTTGTGTGTTTCAATGCAATTCCTGTATTTGTCACATTGGGTACAATTTTAAAATTAATCAGGGTGATTTTTTTTTTATTGAAATTCAAGTGCTTGATTTTTGCTTTTTTAAAGATTTGTCTGGAGGGATTTAATTCCCTCAGCTTTTTGTTTAAGAGCACTTCCTCTGAAAAACATTCTCTCTCTTTTTTTTTTTTCTTCAAGTGATCATGCTGTGATTCAGTTTGTGTTTTGGAAAATGTTACATACCCACACAATATCTGGTCTTGTGTTAGCTAACCCTGTCCCTTCCACTGACACACTTTTGAATAATTCCATATTTCTGCAAATTAGCACTTTGTTTAATCTGTGAGCTTGTACTCTGAAACATTTTCAAAGTAATTGGGATAATACTCTTGAATGAATTTCTTGTAAAATATGGAAGTTTCAAAACCCTTGCCTTATTCAGCGTTCTCTGACTCCTGCTTCCTGCTAGTTGATTAAGTGTGCAGCCATTTGCTTGGTGGACTCGTCCACGAGGCACATTCTTCTAAACCGGGGTTTCACTACAAAGATCTTCCACATAAGATGCTCTACCTCTTTTCTTAATTCCTGTGAGGATCAGGGATGCTAAATTATAACTTGTTATGTATTATTTACCATGTTGTGACGTTCTCTGGGTCTCAGTTTTGATGAAGTATCTCTTAGAAATCTCTGGTAGACACTAAGCACTTGCTGTCTCTTTCAGCATGTATTCTCAACAACATGTGAGTTTTTAGCATTTGCACTTGAGGAGGGTGACCATGTGAAATTAACCATGTGAACAATTTAGGGGGGGAAAAACTTAAAGGAGCAGTTCACAGCATGTGATTCAAATCATGAAATGACATTGCTTGAGCACCTTTTGTATGCATTAACTGTTTAGGCATTGTAAATTCGTATGGTAAATATAACTTTAGAATGTTTCTTTTTCTGAGCCTTGAAAAGAACGCTTGTGAGCTTCCAGTACTGAATGTTTGGCAATCATATTATGTATGAATGAACATGGTTGGAAATCTCTTCATCCTGTCATCTGGCCTAGATGGTTTTCATACATCTTTGTTTTCCCAGAAAAGATTACATTTAAAACTAAGTTATGAAAAGACCACCAGATAACATTCATCAAATTGAACTTTCTGCATTGTCATTCTTTAAGCTGCCTTCTTTTCTTTGCCACATCAGGAGCTGAATTGGATGTATGTTTACTGAAATTTTAGACCTGAAAATTTATTCATGCAACAAATATTTGTTGACTTTTCTGTCATGTAACAGGCTTGCTTTGATGTTTCCTAGCATGGATTTCTGTCACTTTAAAATTGAGTAAATATGAATTATAATGGATTAATTCAAAAGTGAGGAGAAATAGAACAAGGATATTTTGCAGAAGTAAATTCTTCCATCTTATGAGTTTTGTTTACATACTGTTAGGTGTATCTTATTTATCTGGGTCAACTAGGTTGTCCAGTCACCAGGTGAACACTGATAATTCAGATCACCTTTTAATACATACTATATATATATTTATATATATTAAATACAGATATGTATTTAATACGTATACACACATATACACGTGATTTTTTAAAATATTTGCTGAAATTCATCACTGATACTTTAATAGTGTTTTAATCATGAACATTTAGGGTGAAGCATTATTTGTAGCCTATGTGATTGAATTATTGATTTTAAAACTTCTCATTCTAAACTCAAGCTTGTGAGCCTTGCAGAATCTAGTCATTTTACTATGCTTATTAGGCTTGTGGTCAGTAATGAATGTGGATACATTCTTGTCTTGAGAATTCTGAAAATGCTGTGGATTTATTAAGTTTGCACTGAAGCAGAATGAAGGCCTTCTTTCTATTCCTTCAGTTTTTGTCTGCCATACCAAAAGGGGGAGGGGGAGGTGTAAATTAAAATGAGGGTAGTTTGCATTAGTGGAAGAATGGATAGAAACTGTTTACCACCACTCTTAAATAGAGTGATCTCAGTGTTAAAAATTCCTATCTCTGGGGACCTGGTGATGTGACAACATCAATGTGTCTTGTGCTGAGGGTTCACTGTTGATTTCTTATTTGCCATGAGTGAGAAATGGGTATAGTCAAGTGGTATCCTTAAGCTTGGCTGTTGTGAGCTTAATTAAGAATTAATGTATAGTCATGCCATTGATTTCCATGAAGTTCAGCAGAATCATAAAAAGGAATTATCTGTTTATGCCCCTAAGTGCCCAAGCCAAAACCTGCTTATCTAGCTTATTCCTTCTGGGTGTTGCACGATGCACTAGCTAAATAGCTTTCTGTGTCTTAAAAAAAATGAATGGGAAAATATGGAGTATAAGTAACAGTGTTTTGTTTTTATAAATCAGGTGGCCTTCCCTAAATTCACATGTTTTAGCAATTGTGTTCTTTCATATGTTGACACACATTAATTGTTTGCAGCACTTTAAAAATCATGAAATAAAAGTTTACATGGAGCCCTCTGTAGGGATCTTGTGAGGACACAATACAGTTCTTGAGCTGCTGGCCCTCAGCTCTTACTGACCAATAGAACTCAATTTCAGCATGATCTGTGTCCCAGCATTAATGTTACTTTCTATTATAATGTGATTGTCTTTTATCATTCACTGTACAGTACAGTATTCAAACTTGTCTTCATAGCACAAAGATAACATTTTTTTAAAAATTTGGTTCTTAGGATTCTTCATTTGTTTCTAAGCACTTACTTTAAGAAGCTGAGTTTTAAATTAGGCCTTAAAACTCATATACAGACAACAACATTTTGAAGTTAAACACTTGATTTGAATAAGCTAGTTTAGTAAAGATGTTTTGTTGTGAAGCATTATATTGTATTCAATAAAAAGAATATGAAACTTCCCTGATTGTGGGAATAAGTTTTTTTGTCTCCCAAAATCAGCATTTTATTTAAAGTGCTTTGCAGATTTGACTTTTTTCTTAAAAAAAGACATGTACCTTGATACTGAATAGTGGGGCAATAGCTTAGGTCCTAACTCATAGGCATTTAAAGGATACTAACACTCTTCTAAGGTTTTTCAGAATAAAGGATGAAAGCAGAAAAATAAAATGCCATTAAAAGAAATTGCCCAGTGATGCATTCCTAGTCATGAACTAGGCTTTTCAGAAAACTTCTCAAGCAATGCCTTTGTGCCACCTTAACCCTTTCCCATGTTTTGGCACAAAATGTAGCAGGGCCGTAGGTGGAAAAGCTTGCCATTGAAGTATGAACCTAAAAACGTACATTTTGCCATGATATCCTTTATACTTGGGTTTTTAAAAGTACCTACAGGTAGGAGTTTCAGTATAGTTAAGAAATGACTGGTTTCAATTGTAGTTAAGCAGCAAAGTGTAGAATTTCTAAGATTACATGTGTTGGACTTTGGGGCAGGTATAGGATATACCTGTGTTACTTAAAAGACCAGGGGGCCTAATTCTTGTCAGTTTTCATTGGTGCCATCCAAGACTCGTATTGTTTACAGGAAACACATTTAGTAGTGTTTTTCCTTTTAAAAGTTTTGAATTCAGCTTAAAATACAGCTTGTGTGTGTAGTTTGTTAAAAGGCATAGAGTAGTGGTAAGTCCTGTAGTGGGTGTGTGAATGCAGTAGAGGTGGGGCGGGGGAGGGGACGTGGCGGTTCTTGGATGAAACAGAAAAGACCATCAACTCCAGGGCTTCAGAATGACTTGGAAAACCAGAAAGGAGGGAAAAGTAGAACTAAGCTGTTTGTCTTGACCTGAAACATACTTACCCTCAATGAAAAATGGACAGCGTTTTCTTGTTTAAAGAATATTTCATCTATTTGCCACCAGTTTTTTCAAAGTTAAATGCACTGCTGCTACCTGGAAGATGTCTTGTGCAACGCTGTGTAATTTTGCCATTGTCATTAAGATGCATTGGTTTTATTTATAAGATATATGATTTAAAATACCTAAATGCTGTATGAAGTGACTTGTTTTAAAGAAATAAATCAAGTGAATACATTGTTGTGTCAGCGTATTTTGGGATCTGGGCAGAGGGCCAGCAGGCAGCAGCTACACTCAGGTCATCCGTTATCCAAATGATGTCTTTGACTTAAATGCCAACATCTCCTACATCTTTCCCTGTAGATAGGTTCTTAACGTATTAGACATTAAAGTGTCTTAGGGTTTGTTTTTCTAATGCATTTGAGAATAAGTTTCCATCCACTGATTCACTGCTCAAATACCTTCAACAGCTGGGGCTAGGCTGGGCCAAAACTAAGAACCAGGAACTCAATCCAGGTCTCCATGGAGCTTGCAGGGATCCCATCGCTTGAGCCTCCCAGGCTCTGCATTCTCAGAAAGCTAGACAGGAGCTCGAGTTAGAGTACTGAACCCAGCCACCCAACCCGCAGCATGAAACCTAGACGAAACACTCCATCTTAATACCCCAGAGCACCGGAAATGTCCTTTTGTTGAGAGGTGTTTTTGTTTTGTTTATAAAGATTTTATTTTTATTACAAAGTCAGATATACAGAGAGGAGAAGTGACAGAGAGAAAGACCTTCGTATGATTCACTCCCCAAGTGACCACAATGGCCGGTACTGTGCCTATCTAAAGCCAGGAGTCAGGAACTTTCTCCAAGTCTCCCACGTGGGTGCAGGGTCCCAAGACCTTGGACCGTCCTCAGCTGCCCTCCTAGGCCACAGGCAGCTGGATGGGAAGTGGGGCTGCCGGGATTAGAACCGGTGCCCATATGGGATCCCAATGCTTTCAAGGCAAGGACTTCAGCTGCTAGGCCACTGCTTCAGGCCCATGTTTTTTGTTTTTTTGTATTTTTTTTCTAAATCAGCTTCTGAAAGTTGGCATGTTCAATGTTGATTGCTGAAAAATTGGCAAAATCAAGTTTTTGTTTAGAATTACTTGTGTTTGAAAACAGAAATACCTTGGTGAGAACTTATTTCATCTTTAACAATATCAATATTCAGACACTTATTTGGAATAAACATGGTAAATCTTTCACAAGTAAATTAAACTGCTTTTTTTCTCATTGAAAGCTTAAAAATCATGGAATTGGAATGAATAATGTCATCAGCGTGTGCAGCATCAATCCAACATGAGGCTTGTAGGGAATATTTGAGCTGGGTGATCGTATCCTGCTGAACAACTAAGTCCATAAGGCATTGTGGCTCAGAATTGGCCATCATCACATCACCTGAGGACATGTTAGAAGTGCAAGTGCTTAGAGACAGAAATCAGAAGTTGATGAGAACCAAGCCATCGGCATTAACTAGCCCTCCAGATGGTTCTGATGGGTGACAAAGTTGGAGAAACAGTCTTCACCAATAAACCGTTCATCAACTTGGAGAGATGTCTGATGGCTGTCAGCCTTATCACCTTGGCTCCTGCAAGTCATTTTCATCTGTGTAATGACAGTTACTAAATTTGAGGTAATGGAATTCAGTAAAGATTGGTATAGTACGGTGACAATTCAGACAGCATGCTGGAAAATTCTAATATTGAATACTCACACATGTATACTCTAAATCTGTTATTGAGCCCAGCATGAAGAAAAATTGGCTTTATAGTGGATTTGATCAAGCTAAAGAATAGTAGTTAATTCTAATTCTTTTTTTTTTAAGATTTATTTATTTTTATTACGAAGTCAGATATACAGAGAGGAGAGACAGAGAGGAAGATCTTCCATCAGATGATTCACTTCCCAAGTGAGCCGCAACGGCCAGAGCTGAGCCAATCTGAAGCCAGGAACCAGTAACCTCTTCCAGGTCTCCTACATGGGTGCAGGGTCCCAAAGCTTTGGGCTGTCCTTGACTGCTTTCCCAGGTCACAAGCAAAGAGCTGGATGGGAAGTGGAGCTGCCGGGATTAGAACCGGTGCCCATATGGGATCCTGGCGCGTTCCAGGAGAGGACTTTAGCTGCTAGGCCACACCGCAAAGCCCTGTTAATAATAATCCTGATCCCACAAGGGTAACATGACTTGGGTTGCCGAAATAGTTGCATCTTAAAGATCAGAAAAAGTGAAGCAGCATTGTTAATGTTTGTCACGTTGTATTGTGAATTTGCATGTGGGTGTTAATGATTGAAACATGATGAGAAGGGAAGAAGATTACAAAAGTTGAGGTGAGAGAAGGGATCTAAGATTGACATGATGACTTCAAATTGAGGGATATGAATGAGACGGGTTATTCTCATTGTCAGGAGAGTCCGTTGCTAGAGTGCAGCTCGCTGGGTTACAAGGATTCACATGGACCCGTCAGTGGGTGGACCCTGGACTCTGACCACTGTCCCCATGTTCTGTTAAAGAACCACTGTTGAGGCATCTCCTCCACCCACTCTGGATAGGACGCCCCCACAAGTTGGGTGCATTACACCAGACCTATAGCATCATCCTGATCCCAGCCTGCTCATTCTAGAAATCCTTTCCTGTTTGACTCTAACAGCAGGGGAGTTCATCCTGAATTACCCGATCCAGCAAACAGATGTCCCTGGAAATGCATTGCTTATAACAATCAAGAAGCAGCTAGCATAACATTTGTAAAAATAAAGACTAGAATTTGAAATATCAAGCTTGCAATGACTGATAACCAGTTTTTTCATTATCAGTTGAGCAAATAAGTGGCTAGTAATAATTTGTCAGAACTTACACAGAACTATCCAAAATGAAATTTCAAGTAACTGAATATTTCTAGTACAATTAATTTCTATCCTATTAGAAATTTATATTGAAATAAATAGATATGTACCTTTTTTTTTTTACTATTATATAATACAGTTTCATAGGCTCTGGAATTTCCTATCCTCCCTCCGTACTGATTTTCCCTCTAGTACTGCAATGGGTAGTCCTTCATGGACACTCTTAAGTCCATCATTCCACTATTAAAGTGTTTCCCAACACTTTAGGCATGGACAATGTCAGAGCATCCAGCATCCTACTGTCAGGATATGTTCTACAGTTTCACCAGGACTCCATCTTTGCTCTGGATACAGAGATGCACACTGCACTATGTCTCCACATCTGAACATGTCAGTCTCTGCTACACTTTTTGTTTTTTAAAACTTATGTATTTTATTGGAAAGTCAGATATATAGAGAGGAGGAGAGACAGAGAGGAAGATCTTCTGTCCGATGATTCACTTCCCAAGTGACCATAACGGCCAGTGCTGAGCCGATCCAAAGCCAGGAACCAGGAACTTCCTCCAGGTCTCCCATGTGGGTGCAGGATCCCAAGGTGTTAGGTTGTCCTCGACTGCTTTCCCAAGCCACAAGCAGGGAGCCGGATGGGAAGTGGGGCTGCCAGGATTAGAACCAGTGCCCATATAGGAACCCGGAACTTTTAAGGCTAGGGCTTCAGCCACTAGGCCACTGTGCCGGGCCCATCTGCTACATTTCTATTGTATATCCCCTTAAATACAGAGCCAGGAAACACAGTCCACAACAGGGAGACAAACCAAACTTACATCAACATGAAGTTTAAACAGCATGCTACACAAAGACCAATGCATTGCTAAAGTGATCAAAAAGGAAATCTAAAACCTTCTTGCAGAAACTGATGCTACTGCATGACCCCTATGGTGCTGAAGAAATGACAGTCCAAACAAGAATATAAATGCCCATGAGATATAGCAAAAATTGTGTTGAAGGGGACATTTACAATATCAGGTGCTAACATCAGTGTCTCATAAATAATCTGTTAGTGAATCACAAGGACTTGCTGGAGAATCCTTTTAGAGTCTGCTAGATGGGTTCTTTCAGTTACCTGTCCTAATGGTGGACAGAACTTTTCAGGTATCAAAATTCCAAACCCTACTACTGTGATTTAACAACTTTGCATTGGGGCTGATAAATCTTTAATGCCTTTTTATTGGGTTGATTTACTTCTCCCAAAACTTGCATAGTATTTAGGAAGTAAACTGTTCAAGTTTCTTAAACCTATAAAATTGACCATCACATTTTGAATTATGATGCTATGGCAGATTAGAGAAAAATTTGAATTATTAACTCAGCAACCCTGTTTACTTTGGGGAGTATCCCCTACCTCACCCCTCCCACCTCCCCAAAAAAGGAAATTCAAGAATTAATGATGTTAGCATTTCTTGAAACCAAAGTGGAAGAAAAAATTCATTAGGAGATGTATATTGTCTAATTAAGAAGCAGTTAGGGCCTGGTGCGGTGGACTAGCAGCTAAGGTTCTCAACTTGAACGTGCCAGGAACCCATATGGTCTCCAGTTCTAGTCCCGGCAGTCCCACTTCCCACCCTGCTCCCTGCTTGTGGCCTGGGAAAGCAGTTAAGGACAGCTCAATGCCTTGGGATCCTGCACTCACATGGGAGACCTGGAGGAAGTTCCTGGCTCCTAACTTTGGATTGGCTCAGCACTGGCCATTGCAGTCACTTCGAGAGTGAACCATTGCACAGAAGATCTTCCTCTCTGTCTCTCTTCCTCTCTGTATATCTGACTGTCCAATAAAAACACATAAATCTTTAAAAAAACAAAAAAGGAAAAGAAGCAGTTAGACCTCTCCAACTGCCTCTCCCACTCCGAGCAATTGATGAGTTTACTGTGTCCTCTCTCTGAGAGGGTAACACAGAAGGGTTCTGTCCTGAAGGGAAGAAGTGAGTTTCCTGCATGTTGCTACAGATGGCCTTCCCCAATTAGCCTCTTGCAGCACTAGCTGCCAGAAGTGTGTGCTGCAGGCAGGATGTTGTAAAATTCTGAAACCTTTGAGGATTCCAGCCAAGCCCACAGAAGAGACTGAAGATAGCAATATTAAAGACTTCCCAACCAAACGGCTCTACATCAGACTACAGTGTTGCCTCGTTAAAAGCAGCCCAATTCATGCGACAGAACTTTGCTTTGTGTTGCCACATTTTAAAACTTGAGAAGATACCTGCAAATCATCAGACACCTGAAGAGAGCCTTTCCTAAGGGACATGAAAGGGCTGGCAATGTGGCATAGCCAGCTAAGCCACTACCATCGATGCTGGCATCTCCTGCTCA